TTTTTTTTTTTTATGAGTCTGATTCAACCAGAGTTTTCTGGGGACCTACTCCTAGCAGAGTAGAGGGTTGTGGTTGGGGCGGGGGAGAGGGCATTATGATTGTAGTTGTCTGACCAAACTCTAAAACCATTTAGTCAAGTGTGTGGAGGAGTACAAGGAGGAGGGGGCAAGGCTGGGTACTATGGGAAAATGAGAGTCTGTGACACTAGACAGCTGGTGGCAGAGGGAGTTAGGAGACAGATGGGCGTGCCCTCTGATTTTTCCCCTCAGATAAAGATGTAGCCCATGGAGGAACCTAGATTGACCCATGTAGATTAACACTGCCTTAAATGGAAGTGTATGGGGCATTCGTGTAAGTTCATCCAGGATGGTGATGTAAGCTCCAAGTATACAACACTCGTTGCTAGACAAAGATGTAGCTGTTTTCTCAATATTGGCAGGACTCTACTTGCATATAGCAAGTGTTACCAGCAGGTACGTGTTCCTTTAAAGAACGAGGGGACAAAGAAGTACCCAAAAGATATGCTGCCCCTACTAGTGCTTTGCTGGCCACCTCACTTCCCTTAAATCTTATATTCTTAACTAAACAAATTAAGAACTTAGTATGTGTCACTTCCTCCCACCAGTCCATAACCCATCTTAAGTGCTGCAGCTATCATCCAGAGAGTATGATTGTAGCATTACTTTAGTTTTCCTTTTTTGGCCAACCAAGAAAGTTTCCTTTTTTGGCATGTCAATGAAAAGCAGAATGATAAGCCGATATTTGCTGAAAATGGCATGATTCAGAGAAATGGTCCAGCCAACGGAGGCCATACAAAGATGGTATTAAATATTTCACTGTTCATTTGTTTTTGTTTTTCCTAAATGTGAGAAGTTACCTGAGGTTTCTAAAGATAGAACATTTAAATTCTAATATAACACATCTGCAATTTATGTCTGCATCACATTTTAATTAAAAGGCTTTATGAACTGTATTTTTACTTTACCCTCTATAATTATTCATATGAAAAATTTTATTAATGAGAAGATGCCAGGAAAGAGACTGACCTACCCTTAACTGAGCATACTGTTGGAAAGCAGACGTGGAGTTAAGGTAACAGATCATGTTTACTTGAAAATGAGAAGGCCAATAAAATTTCTGTCTTTACAATCATGGGGAAACTGTGGAATATGTGTCACATGGAATGTTGTCATTTTCCCCCTTGATCTGCTTTGCCAGTGTTTCGGAGCAAATACCATTTCCAACGTTAAACAGAAATCTGGGGAACTTCAGTGTCTAGCTTCTCAACTCATTTCTCCCCATCATCCATAGAGAGCAGTCACTAAGCAGGGCAGAGAGGAAAAGGGGGGAGGGCCACTTGCTGGCTTACGATGACCCTCCCGGCTGTTTTCTGTGCTGTTCATCCTACTGAAGCAATGTCAGGAGAGCCTCTATTTTTGTCCTACTTTCCAAGCAACAATAGGGAAATATTTTACATTGTGTTCAACAACACAAATGGCAAGTGCATCACTAGTGAGGAAATATCAAATGAAATTCAGGGTCTACTGTGTCTTTCAGAGTCTCTGCATGTTGAGTACAAATACGCGCCAAATCAAAGTGTTCGAAGGTCCCATTCAATTTAAAAAGTGTATAACCACAATAAATAATTTTCATAAATAATTTTAANATAAGGTATAGAATAATATTATACTTCAAAATATTCATCCAATTAAATCTAATATGCAATGCAGCTACTTTAATATTAAACCTAGTAAAAAATAGAGAAATGATCCACACTACTTGGGCTCCTTGTAATTACTTTATTTTCTATACTCAAGGGCCATCTCTGAGATCCAAATTATTGCTTTCTGGGCTAAGTGAACCTCTTCAGTGCTCATTTAAATCACATATAAAGGAAAAATTCAAAGCAAATTCTGTAAGAAAAAATAAAGACAATGATGTGGAATTTGAACCTACCCAATTTTGGTAGTGGATACTTGATATCAAAGTAATTTTCATAAAAAGTAAGTAGCTTCATCGATGCTTCCAAAGCATAATGCGTTTGACTCCATTTGTCTGGGGATGCATAGATGGACACCTGGGAAATGTTGATCAGAAGAAATGGTCTTTGAATGACAGCTCCTTGGCATAATTCCATTCCTAACAACACTTACCCAAAGAAAGGCAGGCTGCATTTTTTCAAGAAATTATTGAGCTATCATTAAAGCATGTTGTCGATAGGGGATAAGATGTTCTGTAAAGTATTAAAGCAAAAGCCAGTCTTGAAAATTATAAACAACCCTGCATCTTCTGTTACAATCCCTTCTCTAGGTCCTAATCTGTAAATTTCAAGCCATGTTAGTCCATGATATCATGGGAGTCCACTTGATCTCATCACTGGCATGTACTCTAACACTTGAGAATGAGGCTTCCAAAATTATGACTACTAGCACAATTCAAGTAAAACAGAGTTTTATGAGGTAGGAAAACCTTCAAGAACTTTTTGGATCTACCCCTCTCCCCATCTAGCTTACTTTAAACTCAAAAATGCCCAAATATGTTCATTGACTCCCCCCCAAAGTAATTAGCCATTAAGTGGAAAAAATAAAGTTAGATTTGGATTTTCTTGAGTTTCAAGAATAGTGCTACTTTTATTTCATGATCTGCTCTCATGCTCTGAATTAACTGAGGTCACTCAGAGCTTTTATAGGAAAGATATGTTAATGGCCACCATGTTTTAATGGCTTACCAGGCACTGTGCTAAATGCATACATGTAAAATCTAATTTAATCCTCTCAACAACCTTATGGAATAGCTACTATTATCTTCTGGGAGATTAAGTAACTTGCTCCAAGTCGCCCATGTAGAGCTGGGATGTGAACCCAAGGAAGCTGACAGCAACCTGTCCTCTGAAATAAAGTGCCATCTGTCCTCTCACACATCTATGTCTATGCACATACAGACCGATGTGCAGAGATGCCATGATATGTATATAGACACATTGCTCATAATATATATCTACATATCTGTAGGTATAATACGTATGTAAATGGTAATGGCCATTTTATAGCAATATTTTATAAGCATATTTTATGGGTCTTTGAGCACGTTTTTACATCGATCATTTAGTTCCTCAGGGTAAGGAATTTTTTTTTTTAATGTCTCTACTGATATTTGCAAAAATTTATAAAATAATTATTGGGTATTGTAAATTTTTGTAAACAATGAAGACTAAAAATTTGAAGACCTCCTGTCATTGAGGAAAAACAATTATAGAAAACAACTGGAAAAATGTGAATGTCCTAAAATAA